CGTGTGTGTGCGTGTGTGTGCGTATGTGTGCGTGTGTGTGCGTGTGTGCGTGTGTGTGCGTCTGTGTGCGTGTGTGCGTGTGTGCGTGTGTGCGTGTGTGCGTGTGTGCGTGTGCGCGCGTGTGTGCGTGTGTGTGTGCGTGTATGTGTGTGTGTGCGTGTGTGCGTATCAATGTGGGATCACGCCGGAACATGTATGTAACTCTCCTGGTACCACCTGGGGCTTGCGGCTGAATGTATCAACCCCCAGCCACCCACTACCCCCCACCTGATGATGTTGGGGTGATCCAGCTCCTGCAGTGTACTGATCTCCCGCAACGTGGCGTCACACAGCCCCAGGACCCCCGAGGGAACCTGCTTGATGGCTGTGTGCGTGTGTTCGTGTGGTTGTGCATGTGTGTGTGTGTATGTGTGTGTGCAGCGAAGGGCAACAAGAGGGGGCGAGGGTAACCGCGGAAGGCAGGGGAAGGAGCCAAGGGTAAGTTTGTGCTCGAGCAGTTAAGCAACGAAGCTGCCAGGGCCCTGAATGCACACACACACACACACACACACACACAGACACACACAGACACACACACACAGACACACACACACAGACACACACACACACACACACAGACAGACACACACACACAGACAGACACACACACACACACACATAGACACACAGACACACAGACACACACACACACAGACACACACACACAGACAGACACACACACACACACACACAGACACACACACACACACACAGACACACACACACACAGACACAGACACAGACACACACACACACAGACACACAGACACACACACACACACAGACACACACAGACACACACAGACACACACAGACACACACAGACACACACAGACACACACAGACACACACACACACAGACACACACACACACAGACACACACAGACACACACAGACACACACAGACACACACAGACACACACAGACACACACAGACACACACAGACACACACAGACACACACAGACACACACACACACATAGCATTGTATGTATTGCGTACGGCAGCCTAGCTTCCCTCCACCCCCCTCGAGCCAATCATCACCCAAGCCCATGATCGTCCCCACAAGCTCACCTAGCAGTTCGCGGGTCTCCCGATTCATAATCTTGTGTACGGAGCCGTACGCGCCGTTTCCGATGGGACTTAGTTTCACGAATTGGTGTTTTTGCAGTGCGGCTTGAAGCCCACACATGTCAACTGCGCGTGTGAAGCCTCGACCGCTGCACCAACCGAACTTGGAAAGCAACATTTGAAGCTCCTACATGACTCACATGCGTTTGGGATTGGGAAGGTCAGGTAGGGGCCCCAGGGCAGAGCAGGGCCAAGCAGGTAGTTAGGAAGGAAAAATCCAGGCGACGGAGAAATATCATTGTCATGAGGCATTCTTGCTCGTAACGTCATGTAATTTAAAGAAAGACAACACAGCAGGTCGATAACAGGATTAGGGCAAAAGCTAAGATAGAGGAAGAAAAGCAATCAGCTAGGCATGTCCTTGTGCTTGTGTTTATGGCGGCTCGGTTTCGAAAGGGAAGGAGGGGTGACGAGGGGAAAGAGAGAAAATTGAGTCCTAGGTCGGACTAGGTGACTACGCGTGGCCGACGACGAGTTGCTGGACCAAAGTGGTGGGTAAAAATGGAAGAAAGGAAATGAGCGGCACTTTGGAAAATGAAATGCGCAGAGAGAAGGAAGAAGGTGAAAGGTGGAAATATAAAAAGTTAAAGGAAATAATGCAAAGAAGGTAGTAAAGGAAGTAGGGAAGGAAGGCGCCTAGCGGCCGCCACCGGCCGCTGAGGTCGGTAGGGTAGGTGAAGCGTTCGTTTCGACGGTTCATATCCTGTGTGGCAAAGCCGGGTCAAGATATGGCTTTACCATAGCGGCGAGAGGTTTGCCACTTGACATAGCTACGTGCCACGTGGCATAGCTGAGTAGAGGCCGCGTGCGTGCTAAGTAAGCCATGTCTACAATTGAGATGGGAGCACCTGGTGCAAGAAGCAATTTTAAAAATCGAGGTTATATGGCGATGTGTAATATATGGTCATTATTTTTAATTCCTAAATATCAATAGTCGACGGAGCTGCAGGCTGTTCCCGCCGCGACGATGCACGATGGCAAGCAAGCAAGGTGGGCAAGATATCCAACCTGCAGCTTACCGTGTCTGCAGGGTTCAGCTTCAATATGAGAGGCCCTATCATTTCGTTGGCGTAAGCTGGATCGGCAGTAAACGCTCTGCACTGTCGCAAGGCCAAGATGACAGACGCGATGGGAGGCGCATAGGCTGCAGCTCCTCCAAATGGCTGAGCCACCACATCGTTCTTGCTGATATACCCCGGGTAAACATGTAGTGCTGGCGACATAGCTTTTCTTTGCAATGTGGGAAAGGGCACCCTTGGTTGGCGGGCCGCAAATCGCCGAAGTGAAATAGCTGAGGAAGACCGCTCTTTCGCAGTTATTTATTTTTTAAGAGGTCGTGAGCTTGATCAGAAACGCGACTTCATCGCTGGACCCCCATAACATTAAGCACCGTTTTGAAGAATTATATGGGGTGACCACGATTATTGGAGTTATTGTCTGTGTTATTGGATTGTGTCCGCTAGTTAATAAGGCGCATGCTTGGGCAGCATTACAGGTGTTGCAGTACCCGGTACGGAAGTTCTTACCTTTACGGCAGCCCCGTCAAATAAAGAGGACTCATGTCAAAAAAATCGTACCAGAGGCGACTCCAAATAATGATAGTAGATTTTTATTGCGTAGACCAATTTTACAGCTGAAAAAAATTGCCCCGAAAGGCCAGGTTGCCTGTCCATGGGTAATGTCCTATCGTGGCGCCATATAAATGCTATCACATTTATGTGTTCATTGAATTGCATATTAAGTAACCTTTTAATTCCTGTAATGTTGACTTATTAAATGCCCGAGTTGCCGCCTTGTATCCAGCCCTAGCTCGCCCATGGCCGTAATGAAATTTGCCTTCATGTATTTCCTCAGTCAATACATCTTTTAATTTTACTCTCATGCACAGCGAAACCTGCTTCCTCGCAAATTAGGACGTCTTTCAATTCGGGTTGGATAACCGAATTCCGATCGGCAAGGAACGGCATGGCATCTATCTGCTGTAACTTACGACGCCGCCGTTTCTCCCGCACTTCAGCCCAAAGGCATTCATGCTGCACACATTACCGAAACCAACAATCCAACTTGACTGACCAAATAATTTGTATCACTTGTACCTGTAATTTTTTATATCATGTACCCGGATGGGTAGCAATCGGTCCACTCAAAGCTGCCTCCTCAGATGGATTGCCTGCAGCGAGCACGCTAGCAGGTAGGTATATTCCGCTCGCTGCTCTATCAGTCAGCGCTCCCTCCCGGATAAGACTGAAACGCGCACCCGCATGGAACCTCAAACAGTCTTCGTCGTGTCCGGCAGCGGTCGACGACCGCGAATATATTCGGTATTCTGCAACGTGATACTTATAACAATTCTGGGAGATTTTTAAAATCTTATCTTTATATTTATCTAAATCGATTTATTGTGTTATAGTGTATGGATGAAAAATCATAAAGCCGGTATTATAAATGTGTCATTATTCATTTTTAACATTTCCTTACACCGCTCCCCGCCGTCCGTTGACCCAAGATACCGAGTCCATGTCACAGAGGAGTAAATAAATCTACAGTCTTGAAGCTTACCGGTATTCCTGCCAAGTGCAAAGTGATCACCATATGCTCTATCTAAAATCATATCCTGCTATTGCAACCGCAGTCACGACTCGCATTATGCCCCTAGCTTCTCGCCAAGAAAGCACTTGCTTCAGGGGCCACATCAATCCGCTTTATTGTCCAGCCCGACATTCCCGCAGTCCACGTGCCGGGTTTTCAGCACAGACCTCCCCCGTCCTCTCCTACTCATACAACCCCGTCTCTTGATCTTATTTTGCATATCGTTCCTCCAGCTGCTCAATCCAGCCTCCTTTGCAAAAGGAACGACAAGAATATACCTTCTTTCCATTGCGAGTCAAGGAACGTCAGGAACAACTTTCGGCACCCGTACCGTACTTTATAGTATTTTACCGTACAGTACCATCTTCAGCTCTTTCACGTTTCGTCCAAGCCTATTCACCATCACTATTCTCAATCTCTCCTGGAAATTATACTAAACATGAAATTGTCAGGTCTTCGTGGGAGTATTGATTGTCTGTGCATCAACCAATATAAACCCTAGATAGGGCCTGCTGTTTGTTCTGGTGACAGAATTTATTCTAGTTTCGTTTTGCTCACCAGCCAGGGGACGATGACGATAGTATTAAGCGCCGGGGAGGAATGGAAGGATTGTACGGGACGATGTGGGACATGCTTGCAATCGGCGCAGGATAAGACGCTTCCTCGCGCGGCATGCACGTGCCTATGCATGCTTACGCGAGTGCGTGCATGTGTACATGCGAAAGTGTAAGAGCGTGCGCTAAAAGGGAACGTCACCTACGCAATAACGCAATGCGAGGTAAGACATAACGCAAAAATAAGCATTACAAAGCCAAATATACTAATTTTTGCTTTATATTTCTGGATTTTAAATTTCTTTGATGCAGCTGAGCTGGAAAAGGATTAAGAAAAAAATAATTTATTGTTTTTAAACAATAATATTTATTGAGGTCCCCATACACCTACTACCGATTCACTTCCATTTCACTTCCACCCTAAACCCCCACCCATTGGAGTAAACGACGCTTGCTAAAAAAAGTCATCACGAATACCAACCTAACTTTAGGTCATGAAATAAAATTGAGTTGAATGAAGTATTATTTCTCATGACTCCTAAGATGGTAAACGAAAAAGGAAAGAAAAAAGAAAAAGAGAAGGAAAAAGGAAAGTATACGACGGGCCCCCTGGCCTGTGTCAAGGAGGGCTAAGGAAGCCTCAGCGCATACAGGTGTGCGCAATGGTCGAGACAGGGTTCGCCCTTCCTTAGCCGAGACCAAAAACACGAGCCGTTGAGGGAAAAAAAGCGTTTCCGGTCCGTTACCTGGTTCATTATCCGGTCCGTTGCGTCGTTTGGGGGGAGGGTTGAAGCCATCTGGTTCGTCCGTATGTACCCTTTCCTGGGTGTACGTTTTGTACGTCGTACACGCACACACAAATACAAGACAAGTCGCGTGAAAAACGAGACCAATCGCCGAAAGCAAGTATCTTAAAGAGGGAAAGAATGACAGCAGGCAACAGAGAGAGGAGGGACTGTTCCGTTCCTTAGACCCGCCTCCTTTGACGTCCTTCACGTTTGTCTGTCTGTATGTCTGAGTAATGTACTTTACTGTCATTGTCGAAACACCACCTCCGGATCGAACCTTTTTGCCGTGGGGGCCAAGAGGAGTAGGAGGAGGAGTAGGAGGACCAGCAGCAACAGCAGCAGCGGTAACAAAGGGCTTTACATCGGAGAAAGGTAATTGTCGCTCGCTATGTTGCAAAAAGACGTGATTCAGCCGCTGCGTGCGGCTCCTGACAACACCCCCCGCTTGTTTCACCCTCCCCCCCCACACACATCCACGTCAGATGTGCAACTGATATGACACGAGCTACCATAAAGCGCCTGTAAGCGTGTCACGCGTTAACACATCATTACAAATAAATACCTGAAATTTGATCGCGTTGATCCTGTCATCAAGACACGGACTGCGGGGATGCTTCGTGGGGATCGCTGCAATCCAAAAACAGGAATCACCAGTTCCAGTGGAACATTTGGGTCGAGGTGTCGTACGCCACTTCGCGCGAAGCATGTCCGAGACTGATGGTGATTGAACACACGCACACACACACATACACTCACACACACTCACATGTCGACGAACCAAACTCACAAAAAACAGATGGGTATATGTTGTCTGTTAGGTGACTGCAGGTGTGAGTGTGTACGTCGTGTGCTGGATGCGTGTGAAACCCGCACGCACCTCCCGCAATCTCCCCCATGACTCCAAACGGGGCATGCTGCCCTGTTCCGGGCCCCGTATCTAGACTTGGCCAGTCCGATAAACCCTCATTCCAACATCTCGATCTGTACGGCATTCACGATACTCCCCCCCTTGCCAAAAAGGACACAGATTTAAAACCCAGTCGCTTTCTCGGCATAGGGCACTCGCACTGTTTGTTCCCTAGATCCACATCCTCCCCCCCTTCTTTCCTTCTATATTCACCCCCCACCACCCCTCCACACTATATTCAAATGCAGGGGCCCCTCTTCCTCAGTAACCATCATCACCACCTCCCTCCACCTTCACCCCCATCCCAACCTCGCTTTACAGTATCCAAGTGGGCTTCCCTTCCACACACCTCACGTTCCCCAACCCTGTCCTCCTGCTCCTCCCCCCTTTCCCGCTGTCGTCACATCCCTTCTCCGCTCCTCAGCCCAGCTTGTTCGCGTTGGGCTCGGACAGCCTCTTGGGTCCCGCCAGGTACTCCTTGATGCCGGGTAGCTCGGAGATGAACGACTGGAAGGAAACCAGCTCCGGGTACTGGGACCGAGGGGACAGGGGGACAGTGGGTGGGGGAGGGATTGGGGGTTGGTTTCATGGACATTGGGGGCTGTCGGAGGTGTTCTGTGGTGTTGTGTTGTGTTGTGTTCCTCAACGGTGCGGGTTATGGGGAATTGAGAGTAAAAAAGGAGCAAAGGGCTTTGGGAAACTTGCTGAGGCACCGCCAAGTGTGCCTGCCATGATAATGATCCTGATGCGTATTGGGAAGGGGGCCAAAGGGTCAACTGCTGATGCGCAAGTGGGGAGGGAAGTGGATGGTCCGTGGAAATCCCTCCCATACCATCAAACCCAGTTGTGAGCTTAAACCCCCCAAAACCTATAATCGGGAATCCCGACTACAAAACCGTCGCCCTCTCGTACCGTTTCCTGAATCTGGTCCCCGAAAATGCGCATATGCAAATCCACAATCTCCCAGAGGCATAGGTCGGCGATGGTGAGCGAGTCGCCCACGCAGTACTGGCCGCCGTTCTTGACCAAGAAGTTGGTCAGGTACTGAATGTGTGCACCGCCTGCGTAATTAATTATAGCAGGGGGCAGTGGTAGGTAGGGGGTTAGGGCGGAAAGGAACGAGTGAGGGAGTGCGAGACAATGGAGGCAACAAATGCGGGAAATCAAAAGAGAAACAACGTGCGGCGTCCAACGGCAACAATGGCCATTTCAGTCCGAAAGCGTGGAGAGACAATGGGGGTTAGATAAGATGGTGAGAGGGCGGCGGGGGCTTACCAGGCTTAGGAGGGCTTAGGAGGCCACCCAATTGAGCACCTTCATCCACCCGCCCACGAACCCACCCACACACTTGGCTGTGTGCTGCCCAAACACTTACACACACCATGTTACGTATGTATGTATGTATGTATGTATGTATGTATGTATGTATGTATGTATGTATGTATGTATGTATGTATGTATGTATATATATATGTATGTATGCATACCCATGTGCCGCCAACATTTAAATCCCCACATGCCGATGTTCAAGTTCACGTTCATGTGCCCAAACAACCCCAAACCCCAGCTACACCTCCCCCTGATTCCCCACACTCGCCATTCCTCCCGGTGGTGGTCTCCTTGTCGAAGTAAGTCTTCCAGTACGCCTCCTTGGCGGCGTCAGCCTGTGTAGTAAGAAACAGGCAAGCACAACGCGCCACGCAACCCAAACTGCTAAGTAGTCTGTTACTTAACTAAGGTTCTTGTTAAGATTTCGGTACAACGACTCAAGAAACGTAAAACGCGACTGCAACACCCTGGAGAGGTTCATCACGTTATGGTCATGGCCAGAAAAGCAACTGAGGAGCCGCCGAGGTAGCCCCGAGGCCACCCGTGTGTTCCGGGTGTGTGTAGTGGGGGGCTAGACCCACCACGCCCATCCGCCCCACGCAATACCGCCTACATGCGGGCACGTGACACCTCCTTCAATTCCCATCTCTCCACCACATGTGCCGTTGATGCCCCTCAGCGCATGTGTACGTCGCTTCTTACCGCCGGCCCAAACCCGGGGGGACGCAGAGAACCCTCACCCACCCGCCCACCAACCTTTTCCGACTCACCAGCTGGTCGTTGTAAACCTACGGATACGACAGGTGTCGTATAGCACGACGTCCAGCAGCAGCAGGAGCCGATCAAGGGCAATAGAAAGGGGGGGGGCAATTGTGAGGGCCCCATTAGGAGGTGGGGAAGGTTCTAGAAGTGTCAGATAAGAGAAAGAGCAGCAAAAAGGAACCGACGTACACATGGAAGCGCCATGAATGCTGATAGACTGGCACGAGCAAGGTCACGGTCACAGGCAGGAAAGATGACGGAAGCATGCGATGACGAAATGCACATGTTCGCGAGGAAGTCATGAGGGCCACTCGGCCGCAAGCAAACTGTGTAGGGGGAAAGAGGGGAAAGCGCCTTCTCCCCACTTCAATCCTGAATTATGAATACGACACGTTCTGTAGCATGCTTCTTGATGGACGGAAGAACGGGAGCGTTCATGATATCTCCCTTTTTCGCCGCCGATCACATTTTTTATAATAAGACAGCTTTAAAAAGGCAAGAGGGCATGACATGATCACGGACGTGGCCTGGTTGTGCAAATCCACCCACCCCACGGAAGGCCGTTGTGCAATCTAGCATTAGACTTGACATCCGAACGGATACTTCAGGGCTTTGAAATATTGATAACTTACCAGGTTGACGTATCTGGCCGAAGAGAGGTAACGTGCGCATGGTCCGGTCATGGTAATTACGTCGATCGCAGTAAAGGTGAGTCGGATTGAGGAGATTGAGTCGAATTGAAGAGGAAGATTGGCCGATCAAGTGCCGGGGTGTCGGGGGGACGACAGGAGCGGGTCAGAGATAACATGCGATGGGATGGGCGACGAGGATTTTGAGGGGAAAGTAACAGAAAGTGCGGGTTTCAAAAGGGAGAGCGGGTTTCGAAAGCCGGGACGCAAACAAGCGTCGTGTGGGGTGGGAGCAGCAAGAAGCAATGTTCCACACAAGTCACAGCGTGTAACGCATAAATAAGAGTATCTCTGTGCTCGTGGCACATCTGCAGGTTACGACGCAGAGAAACTTAGCATGCGCTGCGCAAAATGGCGCCAACATGCCGGTGCCAAAGTTTGCTATCCGATTTAGGTTAACGACATTCTACAGTCTGCCTTTCATGTTGCATGACGATTTCCTCTCGAACGCACTTTACACGCAAGGACTCCACGCCCTCCATGATCATGTCCACAGCACAAATCTCCTTCTCGGTTTTGCCCTGAAGGTTATACTTGCGTGCCAGGTACCTACATACAGACATAAACAGTTTACTGCCAGCACGCAAGGCAGCGCCTGGAAATACGAAGTTTCGCGTTGTTGACATCTCTACGCAGGTAACCAACACTGCACCCACCGCGCAATAGTGTTTGACTGTACCAAGTCAATATCGCCGTCTACAAGCCTGCAAGGATTATAAGAGGCGCTGAATCCTTGCCATAAGTCCACACGAGGCCCGCCTTTGTCAGCAGCGCTACCTGGGACACTGGCCAAACGGGTACTTCTCCCGATCACCCTTTTGCTCAGCGTAGTTCACGTCCACGGTGTCAAAGTCATCGCCACCGGCAACGATAGCAAGGCGCAGCACCTCAGCGCGTCCGCGAATAGGAAAGTAATGAATCACTGGCTTCGACATTCTAATTGAGTTGATGGAAAATCACCACGCAATTGCAGTATATTGCGACAATGAGAATATTGTAACCTTTTTATCTAGGATTGCTTAACATACTTGCAAGCTGCCGTACAAGGATTACTACTGCCTTTCCCTGTGAGCCAAGCTTATTCATGCTTCCGCTGCCAGTAGCTTACATGCAACAGTTTCACGAGATGAGTCTCGATAGTGCTCCAGGGCAATCCAGCTTCCAGCGCTGCGCTTTGCCGTTCGGCCCCAGTGCGGTTTTGTAACCCTAAATAACTCGGACCTCCAGTTAGCACTGCCATACTCGCCTTACTCAGCAGGCTCCGACCCGCGCACCACATCACCCTCCTAATGTTAAAATCCTCACAAATCCTCTCCTTCCTAGGGAGAGCTAATCCGCAGATTAAGGGTGGACACCCCGGCATCCGGTTGAATGCTTAGGAGCTACGGTGCACTACGGACCAGACAGCTTAATCCGGGGGTCTAGAAGTCTCTGGATGTTAGAACGGCGCCTGACTCAGAATTCGGAATGTATTCCGCAAAAAAAATGCGCTGCGCCTGAGCAGCTATGAGTGCGATAGCAGGAGAGGTGTCCCAGGCCCGGTTGCGCAACCGAAGAATCATTGCTACCAACCAGATCATGTCGGGGTTGTTGGACAACAGTGTGGGGTGCGACATTATCCCAGTATGCATCTCTACCTGTCAAAGCACAAATATACCCTCATAGATACATACACATACATACCCAAACACTCACATACATACACAGATATATGCTCTCTTTGTTCATTAGCGATATCAAAACATAAAAGCACACACCTTACTACTTTACTCAGCAAGCACACGTACAACCTCTTCGTTGAACAAGCTTATTCAACCTTTTCCCTCTGAAGAGGGAAGAAGAGCCCCTTGCGCTCTTCTCCCCAAATGGTTTCAGAGGCTGCTTCCTTAGGCGGTCTTCTCATTCAGGCTCAAAGGGGGCCCTCCCCTTTTTGCTGATGCCATATCCGGTAGCTAACCTTTACCAGTGTCAAAGTCGGCAACACACACACACATATACACACACACGCACACACACACACACACACACACACACACACAGACAGACACAGACACACACAGACACACACACACACGCACACGTACACATGAACACATATGACAGTCCCTCGCACCCCACTCCCCCCTTCCGTGGCCATGCATCCAGTCATGAACACCTGCAGTCTCACCTGCCCTCCTCCTCCCCCTCCGTGTGTTGAGTGGTGGCACTGTGGGATGGTAACAGACATGATGCATGTTGCCCGCCCAGGGGAACCCCCGCAGGTGCCCCCCCGCTCGGCCACTCACTCAATCTCCTCCATGCCACTCTATTGATGATAAGTGATCGTGCCGAATTCCTTCAAAAGTAAGGATGGCTCTGCCCTGGTATTTTCCACATCCCCCTCCCCCATCCCCATCCCCATCCCCATTACCCCCCTTCCCCAATCCTCCATCTCCTCTCCCCCACCTCCCTCCCTTCTCTCTCCAGAAGGCCCCTAAGAGGCCCCCTGGAGTTCCGAATCCATGGATTCCACCACGGGTCACAAAGGTGTGCAAAGGGATGTCGAGCTTTCTCGACTCGCGTGTTAGTGTTCATGTGTGTTTTGCTCCTCTATGATCACACTTTCACGCAGTGCTCTTGGAGGAACCTCTTTTGGGAGCATGGTGGTCGGCTTCGTGAGACACGGGTTTGTGGAGGTAAGATGGGTGGAGTGAACCAGTAGTGCATGCAGGCGGCAACCTTCAGTTGGCTGATTGCATGTGTGTGTTTGTGTGTGCACGGCACATGCATGTTGAGAAGAAACACTTTTTATTTGTCTTTCTTACCACCACTTACACCACGGGGGAATAGTGCATGTGGATTATGGATAACTGGTATTGGGCTGCATTTTGAATTGTTACAGAGTGGGAGATTTCTGGGCCATTTGAACACATTGTCAATTCTACGATTTATCGTACCATACAGCACCATCCACCATTACCATTACTTCAGTGTACTACGCCTTAGAACTGGAAGTCCAAGGCGATTAATCCCGAACATCCGCAGAGACAGAGGGCTCAGCAATCGTCATCAATCCAGCGTGCAAATCTCGACCCATCATCTGTGATCTCAATTCCATATTTCGGTAACTATCTATATTCTACCTCTCCCGACAATGTCGGGGGTCTCTCCAGCAATCGAACCCAAGACCTTGAATTGTGTCAGACAGTAGCGTCGTCCAAACCAGACTGCATATGAATGTGCACGTAAGCTGTGAGATGTCTTGGAGCTCTTTGATGATCGCAGTTGGCAACAAGATTTAGGCCGTTGCAGAAGTGGCGGTTGGGCTGGAATGGTAAGTGTGTGGTCGGGTTGGTTTGCCCGGAGTGGAGTGGGATAGATAGAGTGGTACAGAGGAAAGCAGCCCCAGTCGGACATCCTGCAAAGACTGTCTGCACGGTTCAATATGAATCCGAGGACCAGTTGGAATTTGGAGCTACTGTAGCTGAAATGTCATTTTCAGGAGTACTGGGTACCGTGAATACCCAGCTGACACCTTTAAGCTTTCCTTATTGGCTTATTGCACCATATGCCAGCAATGGGCTCCAGACAGCTGGCAAGAGGATCCGGATATCTGAATCCTGACTCCGGTGTCAGTCCTGTGAGTTAACATACTGGCTGGTCCAGCACCATCCCTCCATGAACCTGTTGAACCGCAACCCCAAGGCCCTCCTGGCCTCCTTTGAGGAGCATTGGAAAGCCGCCCACCCGGAGAGGGTCCGCTCGGATCGCCTACCATGCCCTGCCACTCTCCATGGGCCCATTTCCAACCTCTCCACAGCCCTCAACCTGCTGAATCGGCGGGGCCCCTACAATATGTTCATGAACAGTGGCAATCCTTGTGAGAGTCTATCAGTCACAGCTACAGCAAGAGTTAGCATCAGATTCTCGCTTGGCAGAGTCATGCTGAGCGGGGTGATGGACCTTTGATGCAAGATAAGTGGCTATCTGTGGCAGACTGCAGCCACTATCCAGACCCCCATTCCAAACATGATTCTGCTTCATGACCTGCAAGTCAATTGAGTGTGTTCTGTCTACCGCGGTGCACCTGCATGCGCAGTCATGACTGTGGGGAATTTCAGGTGGATGATCTTCATGATCTGCTTCATAGCCATACCCTTTCCAGGGCTTTCCACTTCCCCTCCCTGGTGCTGACAGCTAAGTCTCCACCACCTGCCAGGCTCAGATTGCCAAAGCTGGGAACAAGCCCATATGACGGGGTCTGCACCCCTCGTCAACTAGTGGAGAGGTCCACTAACACCGCGGCCTGCCCTCTCAGCACCCTCCCTCCCTCTCTTTACCTCTCTGCCTGCTTGAAATACCACATCCCTGTGACCCACTATCTCTTCTGGCCCCTAGAAACCGATGGGCATTGTGTTTCAAGGAGGCTCCTCTCACCACTGAGGCTTTGGAGTCCCGGCTTAAGCGTCATCTGTGCGCCCTCGGCCAGGATGGCGGAGAGACCATCCGCATCTTCCATCGTGGGGCTCTACAGCATGCATGCTGGGTGCAGCAGGGTGCACCCGCCGAGCCAGCTGCCGGAGGAGACACAGATGAAATCCCGTTCCACCTTCACCCCACCCGTCACGTTCGGCAGAATAATAGGGCGCAATCCGGGAGTGATACTGAGGAGGACTAGGCGTGCCGAGATGGGGGGAGGGGTTTTAGGGTGTAGCGCCGGGGGGAGAAACAGCGTGCCTACACGCCGACCACCTCCTATTGACGACAAGGTTGTCCTGATGTTAGCAAATAATATAAGCGCTTCGTAGATCTGTAATTAAGCAACACTCTCTGAAAAGTACCCTATCGACAAACAAATTCCATCCAACTTTGTACCCGTACCACCCCTAGAACCACCTTGAGTACTTTTGAAAATGTCAGACCGGCCATGATGAGAGCGCAGTTGGTTTCCACTCTGAACAGTAAGAAGTTTTGCAGAGGAAATGTTTCTTCTGTTGGAGCAGCGAAGGGAACATGTCCAATCATCTGTTGGACGAACCTATGACCCACGGGCGGGCATGGCTTGGCAGATAAAATAGCATTACACAAGACGAGGGTAATATAACTCAGGATACTTATCTTGGCAAAGCAACCTAAGCAAGCTCGGTCAGGGCGGCCGTTGTCGTTATGCAAATCCTTGTCTCTGCCAGGTCAGCAGTTGCAGAATTCAATCCCTAAGGGACAACAGAACATGAACGTATGATTTAGCTCTCGGTATGTGTTTTAGGATTCGTAGGTGGTTGAAGGCGTGGTGGTTGCCAAGTAAGTAGGTTTGGACTTCTTCACGTTTTGAACAGCGCAGTGACGAGTCGAGAGCCCTAGTTCCGCTAAAGTCAGCTGAACCAAGTTATTGTTTTGCTTTCAAAGATATTTTTCTGTAATTTCATATTACACGGAACGTGCTTACGCACCTACTAGACAGAATGGCAATGCGGCCAGTGAACCTCCTCGGCCAATCAGCTCAGCATCGAACAGTAACACCAGCTGTAATTATAGGTTTCGTCAATCGTCCTGGTTCTGTGGCTTCTGCTTGGCGGGGCTCTTCCTGTGCTCTTGCCCCGTGCCGGCTATCTCTCCGGCAATGCCCTTCGCGTTGCGCGGCGACGGCTCCGGCTCAAAGCCCACCCGTTTGGAATATTGATACCAGCTGTGAGAATGTAATGGGACGGCTACGGGAGACCGAGAAGCTAAAGAATTGCCTTGGTGCTCCGTTAACGGTACGTTCGTGGTGCATATGTCAGCCTCGTTCCCCGATTTCCTCCTTAGCAGGATACAGGCAAACAACGATCATCTCTGCTCGGAGCGAAATGACTCGATTATCCTCAAATCTGCTCAAACTCTCAAGTTACGCACTGAAGAGGGCTTTCCGATCATTCGCCAACCCGCCGCACCCCGTCCAGTGCCTCCCCCTCCCGTGGCACAGAATTTGCGCGCCCTCTCGTGAATCGATTTCGCACCTTGCATGCTTTGTCCTAGACTTCATACATCTCTCAACACACATCGTCGGGTTCCTATCCTTTTCCCTCTCCATACCTTCTGGAAACGCACGCCCACAGAGTGCTGCTCCGCCCAACCCAAACACATCACAAAGCCCTGTGGCCCACCCTCTCTCCCCCTCCAGCTCGTAACCAACCTTTTGTGAGGTGACTCGCCATGTATGCCGCGTATTGACACGCCATATTCCTGTGTCATGGTTAAGTTTGCTGTCGTCCTTTTCTTGAAACCCTCAGCCTCTTTTCCTTGACCCCCCACCTCTCCCCCCTTGACCCCCTCTCCCTTCCTTCAATTAATTTGGAGGTCCCTCCGCCCTCCGCCCTCCCGTAGTTATTAATTGATCCACTCTCCCTCCGACTGATGGGCCTCCCTTTCCTTTCCCACGCGAATATTGATACGAGGTGGCCCGCACATACTCCGCATATTCGCACCCCATCCCCCCCTTCCCATCTTCATCCCCCCACGGGCACCTTTCTCTCCAAGAGAAAACCGACAGTATGTATGTATGTATGTCCTCAAGAAGGATTTCGCCTCCTGCCGTATCCACCCTTTGATTTGGTTCTCTTTCCTCTTCCCTTCAGGAGGACGAGCAGCGGTCCCTGATCAGGTGCTTGGACAGCGCCCGGCTGGGAGTGGATACGTGCCTAGTGGACGGATTGGAGGCGCTCCGAGACCACCTGATGTCGTACATAGAGGCAGTTGCCGTATCCCAGGCCGACGATTTGGAGCTGGTAAGTATGTGTAGGGGTTTTTGCGGGTGGTTCCGGTTCGTCGGCCTGGATGGGTGACCCGAAGTGATCATTACTCTGTGAACCTTGTGGGGGCTCCCGGGGTGGGGCCCTCCCCCCCCCTGGCAGCAGCTTCACTCGTTTGTGGTTCGTCTTTCCCCCCCGGGGGTGGAAACTGGGTGGGAAGGTGCGGTGCGGGCTACGGTGCGGGCGAGGAGGGCCGCCCTCGGGGTGTTGGATGTCGCCATGCAGCACCGGTCAGGATGGTGTCGCCCTCCCGGATGGATGGGCGGCGGGAGCAGCGGATTTGTTTGCACATTCGAAGGCTGAGGACGGCTGTGGGGGGTACCGGCGTAGTGATGTGCGCTGCGTGTGTACGGGTTGTACAGCAGCCTGTTTTATTCAGGTCGTTCAGCCAGCAGTAGCAACAGTACAGCAGTAGTAGCAGTAGTAGCAGCAACAGCAGCATGGCACCTGTAGCAGCAGTAGTAGCAGCAGTAGCCTGATGAAAAGAGAAGCAAGGACCAGCGGCTGCTGGGGACCCCACCCGTGTGCTTGACGACAAGGGGATATGTCCCGCGGTGAGGTGAGGTGAGGTGAGGTCGGGCCCCTCAGAAGCCCCTCGGTTTCTGCAGCACCAGCACGGAGAGGTCCACGTAACACCGCTGAAGAACGACCTAGATCTATGACGTTGCGGCACTGCTCTTCCGGTAATGGTCCCTGATGTGTGTCAGTCCACAATGCAGTATTGTTTATAGGGTCTAGCAGCTCAGATCATCAAGCACATACATACATACATACATACATACATACATACATACATACATACATACATACAAACTTACATATATACATACATACATATATACATACACACATACATGTTATCCCGGGATCGAGACCTGTCAGGGTCGAAAATCCTTCCGATGGTGGAAGGTATTGCGCCCCTAGTTGATGGACGGTGGTGACCTGGGATAAAGTTGACCTGCGAGCCGACCAGGAATGGAGTTGGGCCGCCGTCGACCCAGATTCCGTTGGATGCTGGTGGTGGGTGCGGAACCTGAGCGATCCACTGAGAATTTGACTAGGGTGACTGGATGAGGGTGCCCCGAAATACCGGGGAAGGCAGGGTTTCGCAGGGTAGCGGCCACGGGTGAAGATATACCCACCTGTTCCACACACACATACATGCGCAGGTTGAGGGGGCGATGCTGCTAATGGAGCAGCTGTCCCTGGCGCTAGGGACCGTTACCGTGTTGCCTGCCGTACGCAAGACCCGAAACTCAACCTGCCCGGGACCGCGTGCCAGCTCGAGCCACATGGCGGACTCGGACTCGGCGTCGCTCTCGATGTCGTACTCGGTGTCGTTGTCTGGCGAGGGCCGCGAAGAGCTTCTGGAAGGTGAGGAACGTCATTTTTGGAATTGGCGGGTGGATATGGATAAGGGGAGAGAGAGGAAGGGGTTTGGGCTTTGGGAAATGCGCCTTCGCCTGTGTTGCTTGGTGGTTGGTAGGACCGATGCACGAAGTCGCAAAATGATTAGAGTCGGTCGCCACGTTTCGTTTTTGTCTTTGATTGCCTTAACAATAATGATAATAATAGTGATAATAATTTAATAATGATAATAATAATGATAATAATGCGGACCAGTTTTGCCTCGTTTGTGAGTGGACCGGCGAGGTAGTGGTGGCTGCCCTCGGGGAGTGTTCGTTGTTCGTTGCTCGTGGTAGTTGAACAGCTGGCCTTCAAGGACCAGTGTGCGAGTGCCCGCGTTGTGTTTGTCTTTGTGCAACCGTGTCTCGGCTTTTGTGGTGTGGTGTCTCAGGCCCGTGGTCCTCCGTGTATCTCTTGCCTTGCTGGCTGCGTGGGGTCCTTGTCTAGGAGAGTCTTCTGAGGGGTCGTGTCTGGCCTGGGTAGGTCTTTCCCTTGCCTCGGTTTTTGAGTGTGTAGTGGAGCCCCCTGAGCAGAGCCCCTGCCCCTGGTGGCGTTTTCTATTTGTTCTTGTTTTGGCGGTCAAGAGGGTCGAGAGTGCACGAATAGGCAGGCCAGGCAAAGTGGCGCCTCTCGTGCGGCTCTCGCTTAGTTCGGTTCGCAGTCTTCTGCGCCGCTGTGTTGCCTAGCCAGGGGCTGGGAGAGCGTCCTGGTTGGCGTGAGTGAGGGAGTGAGGTGCGCGCGGAGGAACTGACGGACGTAGAGCCGCGCGCCTGCCCCTGCGCTGTGTTTCGGCCCCCGGTGCTCGTCCTTTCTCGGGCGAGCCCCCCACAGTGTAGCACCCCATCAACAATAATGATAATAATGATAATAAATTAGTTAATTATTCAACTACTTAACGGATTAACCGTCTGATTACCAGCCGCTTGGCCTTCCAACCCAACTACTCCTCATCCTCAGCGCCACAGGAGGCGGTGGCGGACGGACGTTTCAGCGGGCAATGGCAGGTGCTCGTCACAACTGGCGGTGGTTGGCCGTACGGCAGGTTGCAGTATGTGCCCGTCATTGAGCTCTTGGATATTTCAGAGGTACGTCAGAACCCCCCTTTTGGCATCAGCCTCCGTACTTCCCCTCTACCGTTTTCTCATCTCTGTCGTTCCGAGTGAGCAGTGACAGTCGTCGCGTTTTCTGCGGGATGTATATGTATATATGTATATCTATATGTATATCTATATATAGGGGTCATCATGCATGGCTGCAGCCACGGCCAGCAGCCCGCTGGCAGTCTCTACCACCTGCCTACCCGCGCTCCGGGACACCGCCCCCATCCTTCTCATCACTCATGAGTGCCGCGAATTGTGCGAAATCAGTGACTTTTTCGGGTTCTGCACCCATCACCATCACCACCACCATCACCACCACCATCACCTTTTTTTTCACCACCATCACCACCAGCATATCCAGTGGAATCTGCCCCCATACCAACGGCGGCGCCACCTCCCCCCCCCTTCCCCCTCACGGTGGTAGGTCTGCATGCGTGCGTGGTTTGTGTAGAGTCCAACATGTATCTTCACTCGCGTTTATTCGTTCCTCACCCGCACTCTTCTGCCCTGCTCTGCTCTGCGCTGCCCCCCTCCCCCCATCAAACAACTCACCTGTCAGGATGGCCGTACTTTCCGTTTGGAGTCCAAGGCGGGTCCTCTCTACCTGGTTGCCGCTGGGGAGGTGGCGTGGGGTGACTCGGGGAGGCGCGGGAGGGAGGATAACGGCGACCACAGCCACCCTAACCAACTCGACCGCCTTCACTTGCAATACCATGTAAGCGGCTAATAGGGTGGAAGGAGGTGTTGTAAGAGAGACGGCGGTGTCGGTGGATGTTAGAAAGGGATGATGAAGGAATGATGGCGGCGGGAGGGGGGGTGATGCGGAAGGGGAAAACGGAAACCGGGAGTTGGCGGGGAGCTGGAGGGGACGAGGGGGGAGACGAGAGCACACCCCTCAGACCGCATACCTCCCGCTCACCCCGTACAGTGCACACCGCATCCCCCCCCGACCCTGTTCCTCTCCAGAAACCGCCGCAGACCCCAGGGGCCCCAGGGGCCCCGCCAGCTACCCCTCCCCTCCCCCCCCCACAAACCCCTCGTGGCTCGTGGTTCGTCTTTCCCCCCACCCAAACCCCAAATCTCCGAAAGCTTACCTGACCCCACGACCTCGCAGTACACTCATTACAACTTTTCACCCACTACCGTGACTTGATCATGATGAGTACACATCACCCCGCGACCTCGCGACGCAAGGATATAGTTGTGTAGCGGCCCAGCTGACCGGCTGGCTGAACGGAATGCTTCACTGACCTCACACCCGACGTAACGGTCAACTGACGTAACGACCAACTGACCTAACGGCCGCCTCCAGGCAACCGAGTTCCGAGTGGAAATCCTGGGAAGGTCCCTCGCCCTCCCACCGCCCACCCCGGATAATGAGCTGAGGGTGTTTGCACTGGCACCTTGTACGGCACTGGCGAGGAGTACGGCAGGGGGAATGCAGCTAATGGCACGGCCTGCTTGAAGAGGAAGAGGTTGAGGGGGAGAGAGGGGAATGGGTTGCGGGGAGAAGAGGGAGGGTTGGCTTGGTTCGTGTGTGTCTGTGTTTGGGTGGGTGGGGAGAAAAGAGGGTGGTGTGGTGTGATGTGGTGTGAAGGGGGAGTTACATACGTCGCACATGCAGACATACGCACACGCGAAGACGTACAGCAAGTATAAGTGCAAGTGAATCACACGTAGTAGGCGCACACTTTGTCGTACGTATGTATTCGTATGTCGTACTCGAGTGGCTTGGTGTAGGGTGCATGATCTCGAGAAAGGATGGAGGCGGCTCGTTTGGCTGAACGTGTTGGCAACATGAGGGGGGCATCAGGGCTGGCGGCAGTTGATCGTTGGCCATGCCTCCGTCCTTGATGGAGGGGAGCGAGGTTTATGCATGTTTATCTACATACATACATACATGCGTACATACGCATACACACACGCATGCAGAAGGGTACGGCAAATCTGCAGTTCTCTTGGGAACAGGGATATACAGATGCCGTACACATGCGAGGGTTTCGTTTCGTCTTTGTTGTAACGCCCACCCTTGTTTGCCAGGACGAGGACGTAGATGCCGTTGACGAAATGCCGTACACGGCACCGTGCTTTGTTGTTCTGTCCGTGGGAGTTGATGGTGGCGGTGGTGGTTGCAATGTACCCTCCTGCAGCCCTCCATGCTAACCGATCCGATGCCTTTCGTCGCAAGACATAGTTGCCCTTTCATAAAGGAACACCAAGTCCTTTATGGCCTTCATCCCCCGTAGAGTAATCTACTTGGTGGTGTTGTAAGAGGTCGCCGCTGGGCGGGCTATATACAGTATGATGTTGGTCTCCTCGCGTTACATATGGGCAGACTGTACATATACGACAAAGAATGTACGGTGAAGTACAAACAGTCGTACGTGGTACTTTAAAATTCTAGCGAAATTCACTTCACCACATTCTGTGACCGATGCCGATGATGGTGGTGATTGATTGCGCGTGCGCGGCAGATTTTAACCGGAGAGTGGAAGGAAGGTTTGCTAATGGTGAGTAGCGTTTCAGTTTGTAAACTAAGTTATGAATACAGTTTTATGTAAGTCGCGCTTTTGGGTCATATGTAATTACGTAGCCGCAGTTTACGTAATGTATGTATGTATATATGTGTACAGTGGCGAACATGTTCGAGGGCATGCTCATGAAACTCCAGGGGTAGCCCTTTCAGCCCCTCGGGCGGGAGACGCTTCCTTCCGTAGTAAACCTGTTGTCATTGATATTACCACACTATTTAAGGGCTCAATGTGCACGAGAGGAAATAGAGAGAGTAAAAACAGCTGGCTTTTCAAATCACAAAAGAAGGCTCGAAGACAGCAGTGAAAAGAAGCTCAAAACGCGTCTTTATCAGTCCTCATACGACATTGCTCAACATGTGACGACGGCGCAAAGCAATGCCGCTCCGAAACCAGCCGACCACGCTGCCGACGCCCACTCCGCCTGTCCGCATTGCGTCTACAGCTGCGATGCGAACAAAGCACTAGCACGGTGTTAGCTGGCCGCATGCCCCAACCACCCGTTGAACTAACCTCAAACCCCCCAACAACTAACAAACCAACCGCCAGCCTGCCCACTAAGCTATACAGAGAGCTTAGAAGCCGGGGTGGGTGTTTGGGTGGGTGGTAACAAAACCGCTGCACATCACCCAAGTCAAAAATGTTTATATATCTATTATGTTGAAGCCTTTAACCTGTCGTGGAGCATGTGTCGCGCATCAACACTGTCGAGGTGTGAACACCGTGCCGAGCTAAAGACCTCCCCGTGTGCACCTCACTGACTCAGCGGCCCCCAGATTGCACTGCAATGCTCTGGAAGAAGACACGGCAAGACGAGTCGTCAGGTACTGCGGACCAGTAAGGAAGTCTGAACGTCCGGAACATCCCTCGGCTGGTACCTTACCGCCAACCTCCCCCCCTCCCCCCCTCCACACACACACACACACACACACACACAAACACCTGCGAGTGAGTCCATGAGGGAGCCGACCTACCGCGTCCCACGCACATACATACATACATACAGGCAGATATTAACACACACACACAGACACGCACCTCTTGACCCCAACAAGCCAACCAATTTACCCGCATAACCCCCGCATCACAAGGGAGGCGATTTACTAAAGTGGAATTTTTCTTTGTACTACAATGTACTGCATTCTATGGCACTGCGCTTCAGTCACGATTCACATCAAGCGCCCGACTTGACGGGGGAAGGCGGGGGAGGAGCGAATACATCGTCGAGGAGGAGGGGGAGGGTGAGAAACCGTGACACTGTTCCCGAGCCCCCGAGCAGTGTTGAAAGATGTTGTTCAGTAATATTGACAGTGGGGAGGGGAAAGCTCCATGAGCACAAAAAAACGCATAAACACAAGCAAACCAAGGAAAGGACGACGAACTCCCAAAAGAAGGTAAGAGGATACCATGGCTGTTACTCGGGAGGTGAGAGAAAAACAAAGATGGAAAAATTGTTTTCCAGACTCGCGGGGAGGACGACTTTGGAACGCAAACCAATTGTGCAGTCAAGATCTCTGTAGAGGTGGGGTTCGGGTACTTCGTCGAAGCAGTGAAAGAGAACCAAATCAAAGGGTGGATACAGCAGGAGGCGAAATCCTTCTTGAGGACATAAATACATGCATACGTACGTACATACATACACACCACCTCTTACCCCTCCCCCTCTCCGACACACATACGCAAAAACAGCTGACTTTGTCCCACACAGCGCGACGAGCGTCATGAAGTTTGACATTACCATCCCCATCGTGAAAGTGGTGATGTGAACTGCACACGAGCAGCGGCAGCAGCAGCAGCAGCGGCAGGAGGGTAGAATTCAGGAAAGCTGCCGGGGGGGTTCGGTGGTCCCAGTTTCGGAGCTTACGATGTACGGCAGTCAATTCGCCCTAAAGGCACCCCGTCATGTCATGTCATGTGAACACCGCCCCAAACCCCTAATTCCCGGACAGACACCCCTCCCCATCCTCCTCCTCCCCTCCCCTCCTAAAGCCCACCGCACTTTACCCTCCCCCCGTACACACGCACACCCACGTCCTCCTCAACAACCCCCGCGCTCAGCACAAGCCTCGCCCGTTTCGTCGACGTTCACTCCCCCAACAGCTCCCCCCTTTCCGACACATAGCACTACACAACCACACAAACACGTGCCTTAACCCCCCTCCACGTGCTCCACTGCCCAGTCTCCCCCCCCATTACACAGCATCACGCCGGTACTCCCTAACCTCTTCAAACCACTTTTTCGTCTTTCTATAAGGCCCACTCCGTATATATATATAGTGATTCTAATGGTCTGCTCCACTCGTATAACTGGAATGCGTTTCTGTCTGTCTGTCCGTCGGTCTGCTGCTTCAAGACGAGTTCAGAGGGGGTGTCAGATTGTCAGTGTGGGTTGAATACCCTGGCCTCAAGCCGCGTCCAGCTGCCCTGTCGGGACTCCGCTCCCGCCCACTCCACCGCCGTGTCCGGCATGCGGGTTTGCAGACTGCGTTGAAGTGCCTATTTGTGTGCGTGGAGGGGTGAGGGGGTGAGGTGAGGGGAACGGGGCGCGTTAAAAGGGAATCTGAGGCGGCGGCACGACTGGGGGAGGATTTGGAGATGCCAACCCACCAAATGTATTCACCGGCCGGGGGGGGGAGGGAGAGAAGCCAAGAAGAGAGGAAAGAGAGAAAATGCTGCTGCCACTGCTGCTGCTGCCACTGCCACTGCTGCTGCCGATCTACCCTCAACCATACATCGCCCAAGCTCCAAAGTTACCAGTCGCTGCAAAGAAGTCAACCACTACGCGTAAACAACGCGTAAATTGTATTACAACATAAGAGTAGTTCTATTATAACATTATAAAATGTCTGCTTTAAACGCCTATTATGTAAAACATGCAAATTATACAGGACATCAAATAGAAAAAAAATCCCCAACGTCCCGTTGCCTTCCCCCCCCCCACACACACACACACCGCCAGACCTGCAGCTGTCGTGCATTTTCCCGATTAACGCATGTACGACCGTCGACCCACAACGTCAACCGCCGCAGCCGCCCGCCGCTGCTCCTTCCGAGTCTTGCCAGGCCCATCATGCAGCAGCTCAGCCCGCAAGGTAATGCGACATCCAGCTCCAAGAGGTCCGTCAACGACGCCAGAGACGCCACGGCGGCGGCGCCGGCGGTGCCGCGAGGAAGGATTAGCTCCAGAGACGTGACTGTACGACACCCAGCCACCGCCGCCACCTGCTCGTCGCTGCCCCATACGACTGGCGGCAGTAGCAGCCCCGGCACGTGCTGCTGCTGCTGAGGCATGGCGGCCGGCATTGCCGTCGTCGCCGCCGCGGTAGCGCCGGACCAAGCCAAGATACTGCCGCCGCCGCCGCCGAAGTCTGCAGCGGCGGTGGAAGCAACCGTGATCGGAACCGCGGCAGCGGCGCCGCCGCCGCCACCTCTGGCAGCCGCCGTGCTGGCGGCAGGCGCCGCCGCCCCAAATGGGCCGGCGACGGCAGCGGCGGCGGCGGCGGCGAAGGCTGGCGGCGGCATCATGCCGGACAGAACTACTCCGCCACTGCCGTATTCCTGCTCCGGTGGCAAAGTATATATCACGGCAAGGGACCGTAACGCCGGCATGGCGGCGGCGGCCGGCATCATGCCGCTGCTGCTGAGGCAGTTGATGACCCCCAGCGCCGTCAGCTGCGAGCACACCCCCAGCAGCCCCAGGGTGGGGACCTTGCACTTGGACAGGTACAACTCACGAAGCTGAGGCAGCGGCGCCACGGGTGCCACGCCGTACAAGAGCTGCGAAGCGTTGTTGCTGTTGCTGCTGCTGCTGCATTCGCCGCCGGCTGTGGCCGCCGTGTCCATGCCGCACCCTGCGCCGCCGAACCAGCCCGTCGGCAGCCCCGCCGCCGCCGGCCCCGCCGCCCCTCCCGCCATCGCGGCCTCCGCCGCCGCCACGGATGACGACGGCACCCCGCACGGCGGCAGCACCACGGAATGAAGCTTCAAGCTTCTAAGATTCGACGGCAGCCACGTCAGCAGCAGCTCTCCCGCCACCGCCGCCAAGCAATCCGGGTCCGGCTGCTCTAACCGCAGCTCCTCCAGGCTGGTTAGCAACGACAGCGCGTGCAGGTTCTGACACTGATCAACGACAAAACCGACCACCGTCAGGCTCCGCAAGTACGCCGGCGGCGCCGACAGCAGCCGCGGCGGAATGCCGTGCCCGGGTTTCTTGTAGCACCAACACCCGCACGAGACGTCGAACAGCACCAAGGTCTCCAGACCGGTCGCCCCCACGAGGTCGAGTTTGGAGTGGGAGAGGGCGTCTTCGGCGCCGGACAGTACGGTCAGGGATTTGAGTCCAGGGAGGGCGGAAAGCTCCAGGGGGGTGGCGCAGCGGGAGGGCTCAGGGTAGGTCTCCTCCACGATTTCAAAGGTAAGTGCGGAGACGTGTTGCTGCGGGCCGTGGGGGTGTGTTGGCAGACAGACCCGAGAGAGGGATAGGGAGGAGAGGGGAAGTAGGTGTGAAGGATAGGGTAGGGGGTAGGGGAAAAGGGAAAAAATGACGGTATTGGAAAAAATAATGCAGACGTTCCAAAATGCATGTGATGGAAAATGACAGAGTGACAACAACAACAACAGCGTCCCTCCCGTCTTGTCCGTGCTTGTCCACCGTTGTGCCCGTCACTTCTCTTTCTCGACCCTCCAAAACACACACAAAAAACACGCGCACCTGCAAGGCCGGCGTGATCCTCTTAAGCGCCTTCTGTAGCTCTCCCGACATGCTCTGATTCTGCGTAAGCTGACACCGCAAATGCTGAGTCACCAACGGCCGTACGGCAACCGGCAACGGTGCCACCACGGCACCAGCCCCAAAGCCCATCGGTGCCATCGTTGACGGCGCCAGCAGCCCTCCACCCACCCCCACCCCATCACCTTCATGTAGGGCTGCGGATGCTGCTGCAACCGCTACCGACGCAGCTGTAGCGTCGGCAGCATGACCCACCATCATTGGTTGATTTCCCCCTATTCCCCCTAAACTCTGAAACTGACAAGCGCCCGGTGCGGATGGTGGTGGCGGCTGTGTCACCGGAGCAACAGAGTTCGTAGCAGCTGCGGCTGCTGCGACACCATCCATGGCCGCATCACCTCCGTCCCCCCCTGAAACCAAGACTGCCGCAAATCCTGGAGGCCACTGCTCTAGAGGCCACCGCTCCGGTCTCCGGTCACATGGGAGACATCCGAGCTCTCGTGACCCTCCGGCGACCCCCGCCGCCGCCGTCTCGTTACTGGGGTGCGGATCCGCCAACGGGGGGCCCCCAGCAGCCCCCATAGGGCCCGACAACAACATACCGGACCCAGCAGCACCGCCGCTGCCGCCGCCGTTTATGCCAATGCTGCTGGTGCTGGTGCTGCCGCTAACAGCACCGCCGCCGTGGTTGCGGCTCGGGGCGGCGGCAGCTGCCGGCGGCCACGTTGGAATGCGTCTCGTCCCCGCCGCTGCTGCCGCTGCCGCCGCTCCCCGCCGCTCCTTCCCTAGTGCCGTCGGCACCTTGTGTTGATGGTTAGATGGCGGCGGCGGTCTCCACCACTTGGCCTTCACATGACCCGAGTATTTGCACACCACGGACAGCTCCTGGAGGGCAGGCAGGCTGGAGAAGACGGTGTTGGCGTCCACTCGCAGCTGCTGGGACCGCCACCCGGATTCCTTTGCGTGTGTGTGGGGGGGCCACATACGTGGAGAGAGAGGGACAGAAACAGAAGTGATGGCCGCGCGGCGATTGTGGGATGCTAAGTGGTTAGGGGCGTATGTATGTACGTATGCATGTATCCTCATGATGAGGGAATAATCCATTTGAGGAGATGCAAATCATAAGCCCACCCACCCACCCACCCACCCACCCATACATACATACATACACACCACCATAACTACGCGAAAGGGACAACGCATATACAATACACACGCGTATACGCATGTAAACAGCGGAAGAAGGGTCAGGTCCCAGTACATGCCCCGTACAGAATTCGCAAATGGACGAGCGAATGGAAAGAACCCAGATCGCAGGTCCACCTAGGAAGACAGGGGAGCTCCGGGATGTGTGTGGTCATGCGGTAGGAAGGGGCTGGTAATCAGGTGATGTTGAAACGGGGGGTTGCTGGGCCTTGCTTGTTGGTCGGCGTGGGTTGTAAGATGGTGACGGTGTGTATGCTGACGTGGCGACGGCATGCAGCTGCTGCTTGCTTTGGTGCCGTGTTGCTGCACTGCACCCCTGCTCCAAACTTCAAATGACACCACCAACTTCAACTTATTCCCGCTCTCGCGAGGTCTGAAAGTACAAAATAGGAAACCGTGAGACGACCAGGGCTTTGATTCTGTTGGGCGTGTGCTGGTTTATGTGTCAGAATGACGAGGCTGCAGGTGGGTTCCTGGGAGTGAAGTTTTGTGATTCCTTCCTCTTTCGCGCGAGAGCACGGCGGGGCGTACCGCCCAGGGCCTACCTGCAGGACGAGCCGTGTCAGATGGCCCCAAGATGCCAGCAAGGAAACATCCAGGAGCTTGATCTTTCGTTCGTTAAAAGAATTAAGATCCAGGTTCAGCTGCAGCACCTGGAGACCAAAGTCCTGCAGCGCCAGGAAGTGCTCCTCGAGCGCGGTCTGGATTTTCTCGCGCGCGGTTCGACGAAATGTTATGTCTAGCACGAGTTTTGTTGTATAAGGAAACGCCCGGACAAACGCCCGCATGAAGGTCCGAGCTTGCGCTGCCCTATGCTCGCGGATTTCTAACCGTGCGGTGTGGACGTTCAGGCTAAACGCCCTCCGCCAAGGCCTGCAAACCGCTCGAGCATTGCTGATTGTGTGAGGATCCAGGAAACGACTGATATAAAGGAAAACTCCCTCCGGCAGAGCAGTCCAGTCAGGTCCATTGGAGCAAGCCCGCTCAGATAGATGTAGTGCGGCAAACCCCAGTTGGCCACTGTTACAAACTCCACTCTGTCCACTGGCAGCATACCGGTCGTATCTTTCGAGGTCAGTATCCATGTTGTTAGTCAAGAACACATCGTTTCATAACCAATACTGCTTCCGGTATTTGGCTTGCGGATTAGAAGGAGCAATAGGGTTTGTAGAACAATGTGATTCCCGTCACAAAAGAGGCAATACGTGTCGTACTCCGGTTCGTTCATGCTGGCTGACAGCTTTTAGGCAGTCTACCCTATGATTGGCACATAAAATCCCAAAATTTCTAGAGGACGTTAGCGATGCTGCTGAGGCGATGCTATGTCGAGCCGCTACAGTCGGCAAAATTGCGTCCCGGTGTGTCAACGTTCATGCAACTCTGGTGAATTGGCATTGTCCGCCCTTTGGTACTCTATTTGATGCTCTTTATAGGAATAAATTTTGCATGCAATATGTCTTTCCGAAATATTTTTACTGTTCAGACAACTGAACGGAACGAAACCAAATGTCGTCCTTGCATCCTTCCCCATGCAGGGGCACCTGACGTGATGCGGCTCGGCAACAACAGAAGGATCAATAACAATCAACGTGCCGCACTCCTCCGCAGCCGCCATACCTTCTTTACGCCCATCACCACCTCCATCTCCATTCCCATCTGCGCCGCGTCCAAGTCCTCTCCACCTCCACAAGATGCAAAAACTGATGCACAATTTTCCCGACTGGATGGGGCGCGCATCTCCCAGCAGCGCTCCACCGCCCTGTTGGCCCGCCTGCTCGAATCGTCCGACCCCACCGGAGTCGCCCGTCAAAGCTTAGAGGGACTAAACGAGGACTTCTTCATGACCGGCTCAGCCTACCTCACCCTGGTAGGGCGGGCGGGCGGGCGGGCGGGGGCCGGCTTTGGCTAGGTGGTGTGGTGTGGTTACAGTGGGCTCCAGACTCCCGAAGAGTAGAGCCATCGGGCCAGCTGGCCGTGCACTGCAGTAGAGACTAATATACCAATAGAGACCATCACCTCAGATAATTAACCGCTCATCGGTAACCGCTCCCGTGAGCACAGCAATTTGCCTGATATAATTCTCAAGAAGGGGTGATGTGCGCCAACAGAATCCCAACCTTTCCGTGGAATTCCCAAAGCTGCGAAACCCTGAATGCGGCCCCAAAAGTCAACAATAACTTGACAAATGGCTTCTTCCGTAAGGGAAGGGCCAGGTAACAGTGCCGGGTTGGTTTTCATGTTTGCAGCCATATAACGTCTCCCATGCTCCATGGCTGACATCGCAGCAAGAGCCACAACATCCCAAACACATTGTTGCACTGATTGTGGGGCTTGGACAAGCCAAAGTTGCTCCCTTGAGACTGGCAATCCTATTGAAAGAGTAAGTTGATCTGCTACTGCCTGTGCCACCGGACAGGCCCAGAAATGATGACAGCGAGGGGATACACCTCCCACTGAATCTACTGGATAACCACATATTGTTGGCCGCGACATCCTAAGATGGGAATTTCCTAACATAGGCACCCCATCAACCGCGAGACGCCACCAAACCTCTTTTTGTTAATTTTCCCACCGTAAATGAAACCATAAACGATGGAATGTCCGTTGCAAAAGAAGAATAGCTTCATCCAATATCTCAGAAGAGCCCGTCGCCTCTTTGATGAAGAGGGTATGGGCCACACGGCGAGCCATCGAAAAAGGTGAAAGTTGCATATTAGTCGCTATTTTAGCGGATAAATGTTGGAATCTGATTGGAGGCCCTACACCCCATCTCCAACCAAGCCTCGACACTAGGGTTTGGGTAACCGACTCGATGGAGGGCACCATCGCTTCCCTAGATTTTACACTCAGCGGCAACAAAAGACTAGCCGCCTGTCTCCAATTCGCTGGGATATCAGCTAAAAGAGCGCCAATAGCATCCATACATTCCTGCCATTTACGATAGGTGCACAGAGATTTAGCTAGTGGGGTTTGCGGTTGGAGGTATTGATCCACTATTTGATGCCAAATGGCTAGGTGGTTGATCGGATGGCATATCGGGCGGGCAGAGGAAAGGGGTGCTAGAGGGAAGCTACGGGCGGCCTCAGTTCTCTTGTTCCCGCGGAGCGAAAGGGGGAAGAGGAAGGGGGCAACGCAGGGTCAAGGGGGTTGGAGAGGCGAGAGCGCAGTGGTATAGGGGTGCCCTCCTGGGGGCTCCGGACACGGCGAGCATTCGCAACAAGATCTACCCAATCCCAAGCCGTACCTCTATGCATCAAGAGCTCTCCACGGGAGCTCTTGGCCACCGGTCCCTCCCTCCCTCCCTCCCTCCAGGACATTCCCCTTCCATTTTTGAATTCTCGATGGCTTTCCCCCCGCCTGCACTCGCAATTTGCGCTTCTTCCTCGTGCGTGATGCAATCCCGATTCCAATGATGTGTATATGTGTAAGGACAAAAGTATGTATGTTGAAGGCTCCCCTCTGCAGCAGCAGCAGCGGGGCATTATCCGGGCCCCCCCCCTCTCTCTCTCTCTCTCTCTACCTCCCCCCTCCCTTTCTCTCCCTTTCTCTCCCCCTCTCTCTCTCTCCTGCTCTCTCTCTCCTGCTCTCTCTCTCTCCGTGTCTCTCCCTCGCTCGCCGCTTGCAAACGGAAAAGCTACTTACTGCATTGCCAGAGGGGAGCTCCCCCGGGTGCTGGTCGCCGCTTGCTGGCATGTCCTCTATGAAACCCCTAGCACGTCCCCCCCTGGCATATCCCCTAACGCCGGTGCTGCCCCACCCTTCATATTGTCAACACCATATCCATAAACCACCAAATGCACTGAAGCCAAACTTTTGTCAAACAACAAAACAGCTTCGAAACGACCAAAAACAGACCACTCCAAAAACGTGGAAAAACATTCCTTTCTTTGGATCCCGGTTTGGGCCCCATCCAGTAATCATAATCATATCCGAGGGTGATGAGGGGGCAACCTCATCGGTGGCCGCTCTCTCAGCGCCGTTCCTTGTTTACCTGCCTCCTCCTCCTCCTCCGTATATATCCTTAATATTCTGCACCACCGCAAGATGTCTCATCCTACCTCCTCTCACGTCTCATCTACCTCCTCCTCCCCCAACCGCTATCCGACTCACCACCACTGCAGGCGCGCAAGGACGGCAATGCTGACGTGGCCGACCGCTTGGAGCGAGCCCTCACAGCCGCGTGGAAGGTGAAGCAATCGAGCCTGAGACCGGAACTGCAGCTCCTGAACGACCTCATCCGCGCGGAAACTGAGGCGGAGAGGAAGCAGGTGTGGTGTGGGTGTGGGTGTGGGTGTGGAACTGGATGTTTGTGTGTTTGCATGTTTGCGCTTTGTATGTTGTGTTCAGGGGTTCATGTTTGTTACTTCTATCCACACGCATACTCGCATTCATACTCCTAGTCGTACTTGTGGGGTGGTTGATTCATGTTCTGGTAAAGCAAGCTTGTCGTAACTTTCTTACTGTATGTCTCTCCTTTCACCTACCTGTGACTCACATGTGCCCCCTCACTTACCACTGTCCAGCCGTCCACCCATCCTTCCCAACATCGCTCCATGTCACCCTTCCTATGTATGTACGTATGTATGTATGCATGTACATGTATGCACGTGCATACAGCTGTACATCTCGGGCGGGTCGGACCTGCTGAGCACGTTGTCCATGAATGATCGCTGGTTCGCTTCCGCTCTGGGCCGTATGGCTGCGGATGTGGAGCGGCAGCCCCCAAACCAAGGTAAGGCCCAGCTGTTGGGGAGACTAAGGGCCATTCAGAAGGAGACGGAGGCGCTGGAGAAGCAGCAGAAGCACCAGACGGCGAGGCAGCAACAGCAGTAGGAAAAGTGGTGTGGTGTTATAGCTGTGTTATAGCCATTGCTTTGTTTTTGGGCCCCCTGGCGTTGACGGACAACCTTGCATTCGTGCGGAACTTGTAACAACTTGTATAGCTATAGCAGGGAGAGCAGCAGCAGCAGTATTATAGTTGCAGTGAAGTGAAGTGATTTGTTTGGTGGTGTAATTGAGACGTAGGAGGAGATTGCAATTATGTGTGTGTGTGTGTGTGTGTAGCGATATCAAATCTGAAAGAGCTGCACTTGTGAGCAGCGGAATGATATTGAACACTGATGACGTTGTGCTTCCGTGTTATCGTTCCGCTGACCGATGTGTCTGCTTTGTCGAAACGACAGCAAGGATGCGGTCCTAGGATGGGGATCGGTCCTGGGGGCGTTTTCGGTTGCTAGACCTGAACGCGTGCCTATTGACAGTCTCTGTTATTCGTCGTCGGCTGGTTGACAGGATGGATGGGTGGATGGGTGGCATGGAAAGGACGAGCCCTGCATACGGAGGGAGAAAAACGAGTGTGCCTCTTTCTTATTCTGTTGCGCCGCCGTACGACTGCACGGAGCGTGTACGACTGCATTGCGGTTGTGCTACTGCATAGTGCTGGTATGACACAACATTGTCTGGGTATAACTGCTCTGCGCTGGTGGACAGGGATTAACTAACAACTGATTTTCGACTTGTATTGGTTAGGAAAGCTCCATTCGGAAATTCCCCGGTCGCTGTGGTCGTCACAGTGTACGAACCTCCGTCACACCGCGGGTGGTTACCGCCGCGTGGCATGAATGGATTTCTGTGGGGCTCGAACCCACCGCATGAAGCCCGGAGGGGGTCAAACCAGGTGTCACTGCCGTGAATTCCTGTATACCTACAACAACACATCATCCGCCGTACAACAGTCAGGTGAACATGGCTTGTGTACATGTAACCCGTACGGTGGAGCAATATCACGTGGCTGAAATAATTATTTTTATCTGGGCCGTTCTTCGTAAGCTTGTTGTTGCTGCTGTTTCTGCTGCCAGCCGCCGGCCAATCATGATTGCACTCTAGGAACATGTAATCGACCCCCAGTTGAGCGCCTTACGCCGCCAGTGCCCCACCCAAGGGCACATCGGCGGTCTTCTTTAGAATACTGTGTAAGAAATAAGAAAAACAGTAGGGTGCTGGCTCGTCCAAGGTAGTCATGTATACACCACATTATAACGGACACAGATTATTACATAAGCCGGTAAGCTACAGGCAAAAGCCGTAATCGACGTGAATGGCGTATTTAGGTTACGTGAGATATATGAATGAGTAAGCTAATTTTTTATTTAAAAGCCTCTTCTAAAATATCAGCACAAATTTGTACCGCTATCTTGCTGTAGTTGTCAACTTTTCTTAATTACTAAATCCTTCAACAGCCAAAAGCTTGAATTCTTTTTAATAATTTAGAAGAGAAGAGATAATCAAGAAGAGATAATCAAGGAGCTATTTTTCTATGGACAGCGCCGATCTTTCCATCTCAACAAACATCGAGGTTATCATCATGTGAATGATGAAGTACGCAATGGTGCACATCGACGGCGGGTGGACATCGACACCAACACCGAGCCGCAAGCATATGTACGTTCCATTAGTATGTATTACTCCGACCTCACTCGACATGTCTCCCTGACATCCTTTCGCCAGAGCCTCATGGCCCTTTGGCCTTGGCGACATCCAAACGACAGACTGCACTATGTATTTCCTGAATCGATACCGACATTCTCGCACATTCTGACACCCTGTAGTTGTTTCCCTAAACGAACTGTGTGACAAACGTTCACTATCAGTGTAAACTGAGATATGTCTTACCTAGTGACCAATGTGGCTGTTGTCGAGAGGACACTAGAGCGGTGGGGAAAATGTTCGAATGGCAAAGTACTTAAGTCTTACATTTATCATATTTATCTGGGCTGGGCTATCAAACGGATACATTTGACCGCCCGCCGCCTCCACCGTCACTTCTACCAGAAGCCCAGGAGCACTTCTACCAGCTGCTCCCCGCAGCATATGTTAGACCAACATCCCAATGTCCACCTATTTCATTTTGTGCAACCAAACGCGCACAGACTAATCCCCCCTGCGGTTTAGAAACGTTGTTAGCACGGCGACAAGAATTGCAACGTGCAAAAGCTTACCTCCAGGCGACAGCTGCCGTCTTCAGCTGGACAACATTAACAGCCTATCCAGGCCAAACTTACTGTTGAGCTTACCTGACGCAATCAGCGGATGCTGTGGAGCGCTCTAGTAACTAGCTGCTCAAAAACCTCTGTTCAGACCAAGCATTGCTACTTGGCTGATCATCACTGGACTGCCGCTGCCGCCACCCTTGCAACCATTATCCCTGCTGCGGTCTTTGCACACAAGATCCCCTGTCTAGTCGTCACATTTACGTTTCAGCCCATGCCTACATCTTACCCTGTGACCCCCGAACCACTATCCACTCTCATGCCCAATCATACTTAGAACGCCCACCCATGCTACAAACCCTAAGATCCCTGACCCGGCGCAACCCAGGCGCCCTCTTGCCAAACCCCCCCCCGCACACTCTCAGTATCTACCCACCCTAGCCGCTCTTCAATGAAGCCGAGCAGCATCAGGTGACTCTCCGAGCAGGTCCTCGCATTTCGAGATACATAGCACTCGCCCTCAAACCAATCAATGCCCAAACACCGCCATTTGCGGTGAGGCTGGCCGGGCTCAGACGGCAAGAACACAGCGGCGGACGCAACTGAGTTGCGACACACCGCTGACCGTGGCCAATACCCCGGACCGGGCTCTCACTGGCCTCGGCCGGTGACAAGCCACTGTGGACGTGATTATCAAGGAAAACTGCAGTCTTCAGACGACGTATCAGGGCCCTCGCCGCACGAGGAAATCAGAAGCACGGCAAAGGCCCATCATCCTGAGGGACATGTGTATGTGCGTGACAGGACAGGGAGGGATGTTGGACGCACGCAGCAAGAAGAGCACATACATACATACAAAGAGGGGACATCATCTGAAGTGTTTGTTGTCCTGCGAGCGAAGCCCAGAAGACCCCGATGCGCAAGGCAATTGCTGCTAGGGGGGAACCAAAGGGATGGACGCGTAATACTTTTCCCGGACAGAACAGAACACAGTAACACCTCAGCAATCTTGGCCGACCCAGTCATGTCAATTGCCAAATCGGTTCCTTGCCCTGTCCATCCCCCAATCCAAAGCAACCCGAAAGCAAGCAGGCCCACCTGGTACTCGTGTCAAATCTTGGTAAGCTCTCGGAAAGTAGACGTATGAAAGATTCCAAACAACGCCGCCGCAGCAGCCACCAGGCCACGCAGACGTCGCCATGTGCATCCACCAGTGAACGGCAGCTCGAATAGTAAGCTGGGCAGGAGGGACTTACTGCCATGAAGAGCATCGCCACCGCGGATCCTGTAGCAACGGCGGCCTGGGGCCACAGCCGCACGATTGCATGCCAGGTGGACTCGACGGCGGAGGAGACGACAGCAGCATCAGCCCCTCCTCTCACAACAACCTACGCCTTCCGTGTGTACATGACAGGGGACGCGACAAAGACGGTGGTGGCGGCGGCGGCGGCGGCGGCGGCAAGTGGAACCTGAACTATGAACATAGCGCCGTTGCCATCAAAAGATCAAGCGAGACGCATGTGACGAGGAATGTTCCAGAGCTCACAAGACCCGACAATCCGACACAGGACCCCATCGACAATCGGGCGGAAGTACAAACACATGCCGGCGGAGAGGCATTCGGTATGACTCAGCACATCCCCGACAGCCACTAGGCGTCGGGTTGGCTGAAGCCTCAGGAAATTCATTCTGGACCCCAACGTCATCGATTATCGACAACAGGAAGGGGGCCCTCTTTCGGTGTGACGGCGCATAAGCGACTCGTCCGAAATGCGAGAAGCCCTATAGGCTCAAACACATTCGCATAAAAAGACTATTTGCGATTCAGGGGACGGTAAAACCCGCAAACCTTCATTATCACCTTCAAAAGGAGGCGGCACCTCTAACACACGCAGTGACCGACAACGGCACACAGCGACACGGAGGAACTCGCAGGACATAAAATCATCCAAAAGCAGCCGAGCCAACATGGCCAGCGCCAGGATTTCAGGAAAGCAGGCAAACAGAAACCCGGGGTAAAATCCTCGACAGCATCAACCCTTTCTATACACCGGCATTCCACCAGCAGCAATCCAAAAAGGCGCGTCACATAGTTCGGCTTGGTGGACAAAACAGAGCAAAAGTTAATTGGCAGGCAAGCGGGTAAAGCGGACTGTCCATAGACCCACCTGGTAGCGACAGCCAACTGCGGACGCCAACTGGCGGGGACAAGACATGCAACAGAAGCGCCGCACAACCGACCCCACAACAAAGGATATAGGTTAAATCCGGAATGCAGCTGCTTTTTTATCCCCCACACCGGCACGAGACGCTCATGTGCACTGTGCGTATTTCGAATCCAAGCGCCAGCGTGTTTAATTTTGCCATTATGCCTCAGTGGATAGCGCCACGACGGAACCTAGTGCAGAAGCAGTCTCAAGCTGTCCAGGAACGCATGCAGAAGGGGCTGAATGCTTCTCATAGCCCCCATAGCCTAGCAGCAAGCCTACACGCTCGTAACCCGCATTCAGGAGGGGCCCGCAGGAATTGGATTCCTGGCCATGCTTAAAAACACAGATCCAGGCAGGCACTGGTACACCAGATGAACCCTGAACATAAGGGACCGGCCACAGACCAGGATATTGGGATATCTGGGGCACCAAACACGGCACTGCCCACACTCCAAACAAATGGATCCGGTGGGATAATAACCCACAGACCGAGGATGTCCGTGACGCCCTTCCGAGGTGCGTCCACAGACCACATACATACGTACATACATACATCCGGGGGTACCACCCTCCGGCCGAGTGTCGCTAACGGTGAAGCTCCTCACAACGGGACGGCTCCCCAGCGCACATAAATTCATTCCCTTGCTACGACACCACATCACCAGCAACCTTTACTTAATTCCATCGCCCGATCACCCCACAACCTATCCTAAGATAGCTTGCAGGCTCCGTCAGGTAAGGCAGATAAACGCGATGGTCGACAGTCTTAAATCAGGCTGGAGGGTCGGCCGATAGCAGTAAGTGCTCTCTCCAAGCTCTGCGCCTCAGTCCCCGACAACTCTTGGGTACGTCGTGGAGGCTGCAGCTCCGTCGAGCCCTCAACAATACACGCCAAACACAAGCAACTTGCCATACTCGCGAGCAGACCTGAAGGGAACGAAAAAGGCAGGAGCGGACAGGACGGCTAAGGAGCTGCACAGAGATGGAGAGTAAGAAGGGGACCTGCAAAGTGAGGCAGATACATATATTGGACGAGCCATAGACAGGAAAGGGAGCAGATAGGTGGACATGCATGACCTGCGCATAGAGCAACTGCCGTTTTTAGCAAATGTTCTCTAGTGGTTCTCTACCCAAGGGGCTCAACGCGCATGGTTCGGACCTGACTTGCGTCTCGAGACCTCCGTACCCAGACCGAATCACGCGTAATCGTTCTCACCGATGAGCTAAAGTAGGTAGAGGCCAAGCAAGTTGGGCTGCGCAACGCCGCCGTCTAAATCCACATCATATGCTCGTTGACCGTCTGCGGAAATTTGCGCGTGGACAACAAAATTGGGTTGGGTCAGGAGTAGACACCTTAGCCACGGTCATGTACACTGTAACATCCACACATGTCTCCTGGATTAGTGATCGTGAACATAATTTATCACGCAAAAGCAAGCTATGTGCATAACGCCTGTAACAACAAGGGTTGTTGCCTCACCTGGTCATAGAGACGTCCGGCAAGGTCTTTCATGGGAAATCTGGGAGACCCCTTGCCAGCGTATGGCTGCATTATTGTGAACCATAACAGCCGCGCAGCTCTGAACTCACGTCTCATGACGAGAGCGGAGCGACGTGAGAGCCGAACTGCGAAATAGAATTGACTTTGTAAACAACAGGAAAGATAATTAAATAAAGAATGCCAGAATCTTACCACATTATGGCAGGCTCCCGACGTTGCTCAAGCCACGGGGCTTTCGAACAGGTCCATGCCAGCCGCCAAGGCCGGCAACTGGGTTCTTCCAATCATCGCTCCCACAACCATATTATAAATCCTGCCATCTTTCTCACGAGCATTCCGTGGCCCTCAGGATCTATCTCAACAGCTTGTCATCCTCTCTGCCGAGGACCCTCAATTCTCAAGCGTTGAGACTGGTGGCATTTAGACGCATACTATATGGCCGCATCAGCACGGCACGGCACAAAGGCGCCAGCTCCTCGCAACAAGCTCTCTTTAGCCCTCTACCTCTCCCATCGACTAAGCGCTTTCCAGGCACCCAAAGGATCGCCTCCAGCAAGCCCCTGCAAGTACGAAGGGATACCTCACATCAGCAACACGGTGCGAGAGATATGTCAACCTTCCCTTGCACCCAAGACTATGCAGGCTGATACTTGCTAAGGTGGCGGCAGGGACAACTTGTTCAATTTGGGAGAGGTATTTTCTGGTTACTTGCTGAATATGTAGTGACAATCTGCCGTACGGTCTCGGAGAAACTTCAACGTGCTGAGCGGCAGCCCTTGGCTCACTGGGCCAACGGTCATCCGTACCAACGGTATGCCTAAGAATTATGTATAACCTTCCTATACAAGTCGATAAGTATCAAATACAACAACTATCTTCATAACTCGCTACGTTAATTGCCGAGCTTGATTACAGCAAACGCTGTAATCTTGTTACCCTTGCCATTCCACTTAATATGCAACGCTAGAGTAAAATAGAGAAAGATTTTTTTGACGGAACTCTAGGTTGACGGAAACATAGCCTCGTCGGCGGACTTCCAAATCCCCACACGTCGCCACCCTTTCTCCCATGTTATGTTCTTCTCCATAAGCATAAGTTCCTTCACAATTCTCACCAACATACACATAAAAGCTGTAGCTGGTCACCATGCCGCCACGGAGCAAGTACTGCACAGGCCGCATCGCAAACCTTGGCCACAGCGACCACGTCTGGAAATTCTCGCCATTCGGTAAATTCTACCCACGGAAGGATAGGTGAAACTACAATTAAGGAATGACTCGCCCTCCCCAGGTCACTCTACCCTGACCTTGCTCAGTGTGCTGACCCCCTTACCCTAACGGCTTGTCATCATCATCCCCTAAAGGGAATGACAAGGGTGTCATGTCCTCTGAACGACTACCTTCAAGCCTCACCCCAAAAACGCAGATAATGCTGCGCCCAGCACCATAACCCCTAGGGAATCCTTGCAAATCCACGGTCTTTCTACCCAAACCTTCCTTCGCATAACCTAAATCTCAGGACCCATGTCCCATATTCGCCGACACCCCACCCCCAGTTTTCAGTTCACGTCGTCGCCTGCCACTCATATCGAAGCCTCTTACGTTCTGTCCCAGGCTGCATAAGTCTGCTTTGGTAGGACCTACAGAACTGAGCTTCGCACCACCTCGACAAGCCCGTAGCGCCCTCCAAGGGCTTTTCGACTTTTCGGAATGACTCCAGACCAACTATACGACACCGTACACCGCGAGAACCGCCAGCGACGCAACCGTCACCATCCTCCGTCATAACCCTCCACATCCAGGACGACGATGGAAAAACCACAGAGCGCATATGTGTGTATAGCCGCGCGAGATATGCGTATGCGATCGCGCGTCCTGTGTTTCCTCTTTTCTTCCTTTCCCGCGTTCCCTTTACCTACCGACACCATCACCTGCTCCTCGCTCCTTTCCTACCCGTCCTCGTTCTCGCATTCGCCCCCCTCCCTTCCCCGTATCCTGTCCGCAGTTCACGAAAAAAACGTATACATCCGACCCACCGCAGCAGCAGCACCAGCAGCAGCAGACCACCGTCACCGCCCGCAGCGCCAGCACGAACACCGGCGGCCGACTTACCCGCGCAACCACTCATCTACATTCCCGCGTTCCCTTTAGTTTTAAAACAAAAAACACAGTTCTGTCGCTCGCCGATTTGGACCTCATGGGAACAACACCCCCCGTGCTGTTCTCCAATGGTGTATACCTTTCCTGACAACCCACACACTATCGGGACACCAAATCATTATTCGCAACCACACACTTGCGACAAGTGCGCTGTCCCTTCTCCTCCCGTCTACATTTCTAGTTTTCTACTTAAGATCTGGTAATTGGGCCAGCACTTGAACAAATTTCGATTCTGCGACCCCGAAAATAGTTAAAAAAAGAAAGGAGCAAACATTGCCATGGAAATACAACGGCATTGCCATATGACTTGCGCAAGGAAGGCGAAAAATACGAAAAGCGTCGCCGCCGCCGCCGCCGCTGCCGCCGCGTGGTTGTGTTGGTGATGTCCAACGGCCACCAAATGCAGCATGCGCTACCGCCCCCCCCCGCCCGACATGAAGGGGGTAGGAGGCCCCTGCGTCGCCCCCGGCAGGACCCGCCTCTCCGCCCTCCGCTCCCCCGCCCCCCCTCCCATCCTTCCCTCACTCCTAGGGTCACAGCTCGCGGCTTTGGACGTGTGTCTCTTTGCTGCTCGTGCTACATACCATTGCCCTGCCTCGCACCCTACTCTCCCTTTCCCCCCCCCCTCGCCCTTCTCCCCCAAGGGTGCTTCACCAATCGCCTTCCTCCCTGGCGGGACTTCGGGCTTTCTCGGGTTTCATGCCCTTTTTCCCCCCTTTTTCCCCCTCCTTCTCCCCCCCCTCCGAGGATGTGTTTTGCTGTGGATGTGTCATCGTCCCGCCTTGGATGGGTTGAGGGGTGTTTTGACGGCCTTAAGGTGGGCCAGCACACCCGGCATGGGGTTCAGGTCCGACCTGCCAATGGCCTCCAAATACACCTTCGAGGATTCGAGGACCGGGGGAGCCGGGGTGGTGAGCAGGGCGAGGGACGGACGGGTGTGGGTGCGGGTTCTCATCCGCAATGGAACACTGACAAATAGGCAGTCAAATGGGAAGCAGTCGACGGTCGAAAAGGCAGAGCAGCAAAATGGGAAGAGCAGTAGGTTTAGTAAAAAGGTGGCAGGCGGGCCAAGAGCACCTCCATCTTACCTCCTCCCCCGGCCGAGGACCCCATGCCTGGCGTATTATCGGTAAACGTTGGGGTTCCGAATCTCCTCCCCGAAGCTGTTGTTTTCTCCTCTCCTTCATAAATCCCTAAGCAGCAGGGAATCCTGTGAAGCCCCTCCCCCACCCTCTCATCAACCCCCCACCCTACATTGAATAGGTGAAACAACAGAAAGCTGCCTCTCCAGTTCCTCATTCCTCCCTTTTCCCACGCGCCCGGGGCCCCAAAAAGCACCCACACCCACACACATACACGCGCGCACAGACGCACAGACATTTGAACATGTTACCTGGTCGAACATGGGGCTGCCGTAAATCTTGGCGTCGTTACGAAACCCAAATGGCAGCGAGGTCTTCCACTGGGCATCTGGACACTGCTCCAGGTGGCGCAGCACGGCAGCACGGTCCTAGGCAGGCAGACAGACAGACAGACAGACAGACAGACAGACAGACATAAAGGCGGGGGGTAAGGGGCCGGCATCAGCCTAACTGGTAGGCAGTGTAACTGGTGCCGGGTCTGGGGTGAGGTGTTATCCCGCGGAGGTTAAGCAAACACACACATACACACACATACATACATATATACCTACACACATAAATGCCTGCCCCGTTCCCCACTTTCCCGAGCCGCTTCCCTCCCCATCCTCCCCCATCGGGATCACCCGCCCACTCCCCCCCGGCAAAACGAACTCCGAAAACTGGTGGTGCTTTTGAACGTAGGCAGTTGGCTTTCTTTATCAATGACTGTTGGCATCAGCATCAGCAATGGGGTTATTGGTGTGTGAGTATATAGCAGGAAATAAAAATATGATAGATCCCATTAGGTCAACTGCAAGCGGCACCATCATCATCATCATCATCAGCAGCAGCAGCAGCAGCAGCAGCAGCAGCGCCTGATTCCCTTTTCCCCCAACAAAAAACAAGGACCCAACGATCCGCAACGCTTCCCAGGTACCTTGAACGTGTACTTGGCACGAGCCCCGTAGCAGCTCTCCACGTCAGGTAGCGACAGGGTACCCCGCCGCTCCGCAGACAGCGACGCCGTCGGGTCGTACACCGTCTGTTTGTACCACCCGGACAGTTGACCCCACATGAACCAGGGCCCGTAGCGCTTCGACAACACGGACGGGTCCGCCAGGCGAACGGAGCCGCCGGAGCGACGAACCGGTGCCGCCGCAGCGGTGGCGGCGGCCGCGTCGGGCTCAGCGGCGCCGGGCTCCGCGTCCGGCGGAATCGGAGGCGACGGCGAGCCGGCGCCGTCGTCACCACCGCCGCCGGCACCGGTGGCGGCCACGGCAGCGCCTCGTGTAGCCGTGGCGGTGGAACGGCGTCCACTGCCGCGTCCTGCCCCGCGCCCGCCCTTGCCGCCGCCGCCGCCTCGGCCACCGCGAGCCTTGCCACCGCTTTTTCCCCCACGATCCGAATCGTCCGAGTCCGTCTCCGGCTCGTCCTCCTCCTCGTCCGAGCTGCCGCAACCCGCAGGGCCGTACACCGGCGAGGACTCACCGCCGCCGCCGCCGCTGCTGCGTCGACCCCCGCCGCGGCCGCCGCCGACCCGGCGTCCGCGACCACCGCCGCCGCCGCCGCCGGCACCACGGCCCGCCGCCGCCAGTTTGACTCGGTGCAACTTCACCATCTCCTCATGCAGCTCAATGGGCGGAGAGGCAAAGCCTGCAGCAGTTGCCGTACACGCAGCCGTACAAATAGCCATAGCTTTAGCAGCAGCAACAGACAGCAAACAAACGTTCTCAACCCTCCACCACAAAGCCAGACGAACAACACAAAAGAAATCTTGCACAACCAGCGTAAGCATGTTGTAAAAAATTATGATGATGTCCTTTTTTCCCGGTGAAAAGCCCTGTAACTCTACAAACCATGACCGTGACCTCCAAGTACATGGCTCACCTTTGTAGCCACGCTCTGCCGTAAACCACGTCAAGGTCTTGCCGTACATGTGCAGCATATCAGCCACCGCCGTGTGATGTGGCGCTCCATCCTGCACATCCTGGCTTCGGAGCAACTTCTCCAGTTCCAGGATCTTCTCCCGGGCCTGATCCGCCGTGCTGACCTAGCGGGGAAGAAGCAAAACACACACGCACATACACACGCACATACATACGCGGTGCATATGCGTACATGTAACGACCTGCACAGATGGCATCTGGGCAGGAGAAGCCGCTCAGACATGGGAAAAAGGGGAGGAGAGCATGCCACTGGCATCATGCCACTGGCATCATGCCACTGGCATCATGCCATGATGCCAGCTGGGGGGATGGCGGCATGGGGTTGAGATACCGGACCACGCGGCAAAGGACCACCTTACCAAGCAGGGGACTGCAAGGGAAAAAGAAAAATGCATGCATGCATGTATGTAACTATGTATGTGACCCCGCCCCCTCACCCACACCCACACACGGCGGCACCTTCTGCGCCACCAGCCTAGTCACCGCCGCCAACTTGGGTTCCCGAGCCGCATCAGGACCCGCAGCGAACTCCGACAGACGGTCCGGCAGCACAGCAGCCAACCGCGCCTCCTCGTCGTCACCCAGGCTAAAACCTCCGCCGCCACCGCCGCCGCCACCGCCGCCGCCGCCACGGCCGCGACGTACCGGCTGAGGCGATGTATCGTCCTCGCCGCTCTCATGCCCGCCGCCGCCGCCGCCGCCACCGCCGCGAGTGGTGGGACCGCTAGGGCCCGCAGCGGCGGCTCCGGCAGGTGTCCACAGGCCGTACAGCTTTTGCATGACGGCCTTGCTAGCGCAGAGAAGCGGCGCGGCGCTCTGCAAAGATACGTTTCCCGGCAGTAGCTTTTCTCAGCACTACCGATTGGGCTTCAAAATTGGACGTCAAGATTTGGACTAAGGATAGGTCGACGTGCTGGCTACGAGGCCGGGGCTAAGGGCGGGTGCGGCCTTGTGAAGGGCACCGTAGGGGCGAGTGCAAGAGGGGCACGCAAAGCCCGAGGATGTGAACACACACACACATGAAGGGGGGCTAGAGAGGGAGAGAGTATCGCGCGATAGGAGACACACCCATACACATGAAAATAAACCGCACACTCTCCTTTAACCCCTCACCCTCCAGTCCTCTCTCCTTATCCTCTTCCCCCCTTTTTTCGCTGCCTTTTTTCACCCCTCCTTATCTTCCCCGTTCCACCTCCCCACCTGCCCACCTGCTCACCTGCCCAACCCAACCCACCTTAAGGACCCTCTTGGCAATGGAGTTGCTTCCCGACCAAAGGTGAGCCACCACCTCGGACTCGGACAACAGCCGCATGGGCGCCGTCTGAAACACCGTGTTTGGAGGGGAGGGGGAAGGGGGAGAGGGGGAGAGGGGAATAAAACCGTCCTTACGGCAGGTATACGGCAGGGGGTGGGGTCTGATGGTGGGAGTGATGGGGCCCCCCTTTCTCCTCCTCCCCCGTGTTTGGGTCACGTGTGTTTTGTTCTAACCCCTGAACCCCTCTCCACCCCTCTCCACCCTACCCCCCCCCCGTTATCTCTCCTCCTGCTCACCTGCAGCTGCCCCGGCTGCCGCAGTACTTGCTTTACCTTGTCCAGAGTGATGACAATCTGCTGGACACGGTTCTGAGCGATGGCCTGAAGGAGGGGAGAAGGGGTGCAGGAGGTTGGGCCAATGGATATTGCGCCCTCGTCCAGTTAAACCCCTTCCTTACTTCTGGCGCACCAGTCTTTCCTTGGCATCAGCTTCACTCGCTCGTGGTTCGCTTCTTCCTCCCCCCCTCCTCCTCACACCCACGCCCCCCCTCACTCACCTCCGCCTCAATGGCCGCCGATTCCGACGTGTACCTCCCCAGCTGGGGCGGCAGCTGCAGCAGCACCTGGGGCAGCTCCCGCTTCTCCAGCTCCACGTACTCCAGCACCAGGGCGGCCCACTTGACCAGCCAATCGGGGGCCCTAGCACACAGCAAAACACACATACATACACACATACATAAACACATGCATATACATAAACACGCACCAAATGAGGCAAAAAGGATCCGGACGGTCAATGGCCGCCGGACAGCGAGTGCCGTGAGGGGGTGTACGTGTACAACACGGGCGCGGGAGATAAATACCCGCAGGACCGCCGGGTGTGCGATGGGGGGCCGGATGTGGGTCGGGGCTCGAGGCGGGGAGACCCGCCCGACCAGACAAGGCGAAGCACGTCTTCTGGCCAAACACCCCCCTCCCCCCCATTACCCTTGCCCTCCCTCCCCCCCCTGGACTACCCGTCTATCTTTGGTATCTGCTCCATTCGCCAGTGGTTCGCCTTTTACCCCCACACCCACCTCGTCGTGTGCCATCCTCCTGCCAGTTCCCTGGACCGGATTACACGCAACACACACACTCACACACACACTCACATACACACACACAGACTCACACATACACACACATACACATACACTCACACACTCACACACTCACATACACACACACTCACACACTCACACACTCACACACACTCACACACACACACACAGACTCACTTATTGTTTCCCGGCCCTCCGTCCCCCAGGCTGGTGGGCCCCAGTGAGTGGCTCTTCAGGCGGGTCCAGTCGGACTCCAGGAGGGGCTCAGTGGAGGCCCGGAGCAATATGGTCTGGCGGTGGAGGAAGTTGTGGCGCTGCTCCATGACCTGTACGGGTAGACATTCAGACAGGTACGTCAGGACAGGGGGGAGGAGGCAGGAAGAGTGAGGGAGGAGCTGCATTGCAGTGCAGTGCATCCATTTGTGAGGGAGGAGCTGTATATTTGCATGTGTGTGTATATATGCACGTGTGTGTATGTGTGTGTTTGTGTACGCGCGTATGGGAGGGGGATACATGCGCAGTCAGGAAGGGAAAGCAAACCCCGCAAGGTGGCGAGAGAAAATTTGTTCAAGTGTTGTTGTGCGGGGTATTACTCGGTTATTGTGTACGTATATATTCCCTTAGACCGTATCGTCATGCGGCTGTGTACCCCTCTCTTCCCGCCCCCGAAAAAAACGAACCTCCCGCCGAAGTCCAGACCTATTCCTCTTCTCCTCCTCCTCCCCCTCCACGTACCTGCGTGAATGCCGTACTTCCTGAGTAGTACAAGTACGACCCCCGGCAGTTCCTACTACCACACAGGCAGATCGCCTCCCGGTACTCCTTCTCGCTCTCCGTGACACTGCTGTAGTCGAAGGTGAGCTCCTCGCCTGGGGTTGAAGGTAATGCGAGGAGGGGGAGGAGCGGGGGGAGGAAGGGGGGAAAGACAAACCACAAACGTGTGAAGCTGCTCCCAGGGCAAGAGGCCAGGGCAAGAGTGGAGGAGGGGGGGAAGGAGGGGGGGGAGGAGGGGGGGGGGAGAGGGTTGACGAGGGCATCGGCGGCTTGAGAAGGTGCGACGCCGTCGCAAACAAGACCGACCATAGGGTCGGCGTTCACAGAGACCCATCTTCCTTCCTGAACCACCCAAACCCACTTTTGTGGTGTTTTCATCATTGAGGGGTCTGAAATGGAGGAGGGACAGGGAAGGAGCCGTGGGCAGTGGGGCTTTTTGCATGGTTTTTTGTTTGCCTTAATAGCGAACCCCTTTCTTCCCTTTCTTCATGCCCCCTCTCCCACAACCTTCACTCTCAGCCACCCACCTAACGGCTCTACTCTACACCCCTTCTCACCATTTCCCCCCCACCCCACCCCCCACACACCTACTGCCCTCCGCCCCGCCTTGCCCGACGCTCACCCCCCCCAACCAACCACCACCACTGCATGCTTCCTGGACGTCGACAATTCTTAGAGCGGCCACACTACCTTACCATCTTCCCACCTACTCCCTCGTTCCGCGGCCCCCACCCCCCACCCCGCCCCCCTCCGACACACGAATTTACCTCCCCACCCCATACACACAAAACCATATACACACGCAAACCCCCCTTTTACCCTCCCCCCCCCTTTTACCAGGTTCGATTCTCCTTTTGGCGTACATGGCTATGGTGAGGCGCCCGTTGACTGAGACCACCACCGCCGCACAGTTGGGGGTGCAGGAGTGACTCATGCGGCTAGCGAACGACGCCTGGAGGGACAGGGAGGGAGGGTGGTTGCGGGTGGGTAGGGGCTAAGTATAAATAAATAAATAAATAAATAAATAAATAAATGTATTGTGTGTGTGGTAAACCTTCTGGAGTTACCGCGTTACCACCTCCATAGGTGTATGTACGAGGGGGGCCCCATACCAGACATACCTGGAGCCCTGACGAGGGGCCCAAGGGCCCTGAGGGGGCCGAGGGGGCTGTATGTACGAACAATGTACTGAGCGGCGAGACCTAAGGGCTGTGGGTACGTATATTGTATGCATATATGTATATATGTAGGCATTTGCGAGGTGTGTGTGGAGGGGGTGGCGGGGAACCAGTAGAAGAAGGGGGGGAAATGGGTTTTATGTCTCACAGTGTGTGTATGGGGTGTAGGTTACAAGTATCTGACCGGGCCTGACACTGGCCACCGGGGCTGCTGAGGCCGCAGTCCTCCCCTCCTCATCGCAGCGCTGCTAAGCTGTAGCCCCCACTCCACTCCACTCCTAGCGCACGGAGGGCCTCAGCTCTCCCCAGTGGTCCGCACACAGGTAGCTGCTGCTCACCACACCGCACCGCACCTGGCAGCAGCTCACCCGTAAATCCCACTCACCAAGCACAGGCGGGATATATATATACCCCATAGCCCCTTACCACCAACCCACCACCACCTTGAAGGTTTCTACTAATGAATCCCCCCGTGAATCGTCGTCAAAACACACACCATATGCCTCCTTCCCCTCCTTCCCCCCC